CCCCTGCTACCAAAACCTGGGCACACAAACCCAACCCAGATGGGAAAAGCTGCCAGGAGCCAGAGGGAAGGGAGTCAGGAATGTTGTCCATGTGCCCCCCAAATCCCCGATATTCCCCCAAATCCCCACACCCCACAAGCTGAGTGCCCTCCCAGACCCCCAAAGGAGAGCCCCGTGTCAGGGAGAGCCCCCAGACTGCGGGGGGGCGGAATCCAGGGGGGAGTTCATGGGTCTGAGGTGGGGGGTGGGTCACCTTTTGAGCAGCTCCACACCGAAGCCCCTGTGCCAATCCCAACCCTGTGCCCCTCTGCCGCCCTGTGTCCCCTCCATGTCCCTTTACCATCGTGTGCCCCCCTCCCTGTGGCCCCCACACGCCCCAGGCTGCCCTGTCCCCATGTCACCCTGTGCATCCCAAGTCCTGCCACTCTCTGTGCCCCCTGTGCCACCCTGTGTGTCCCAAGTCCTTCTGCCACCTCCTGTGTCCCCAAAACCTTCACGGGAAAATACATCCCTGTGTCTGGAATCCGGTGCTTTGTCCCTTGTCCCTGCCCCCTGTCCCGGGGGTGTCGGGGTGAGCTGAGCTGGAAGGGGGTCACCCCTGTGCCGGGGGCACCCCGGGGTCAGTCAGAGCAGCACCAGCTCCTCCCTCGTGTCCCCCCAGAGCTGCCAGAGGGGGCACAGGGGGTGGCAGGAGGACAGGGGGACAGGGGGACAGGGGAGCCTGGAGGGCACACACAAGGTGGGACACCAGTGGCAGAGGGGTAGGGAGAGGACACAGGGTGGCAGAGGGACATGGAGTGGGGCACAGAGGGTGGGACACCGGTGACAGAGTAGCACACGGGGGTCACAGGGGTGGGGCACGGGCCGGCAGAGGGGCACGGGGGGCACGGCGGGGCCGGGCAGGGCTGTGCCACCTCGGTGCCCTCCAGGTGGCCTCACCTGGGGCAGGTGACCCCCCCGGAGGGGGCCCGGCCTCCGGCCGCACCCGCGCTGAGGGCTCTCGAGTGGCCAAGTGGGGACAAGGTGACCGCGGAGGGACATTGCGGGAAGGGGAGCAGGGGGGCCACACCCGGGGAGTGGCCGGGGACAAGGAGGGGGGGATGGGCAGGACCGCGGAGGATACGGGGACATTGGGGGTGGAGGGGGACACGAGCGTGTGGGGACATGAGGGGGGACATGGGCATATGGAGGCGGGGGAATATGGGGGAACAAGGGGAAAAGGGGTGGACGTGGGGGTGTGGGGACATGGGGACATCGAGGGCTGTGGAGGGACATGGGAGAGTGGGGGGATGTGGGGGAACAGGAGAACATGGGGATGAGGGGGGACATGGGGACATTGGGGAGAGTGGGGGGACGTGGGGGGACATGGAGGTGTAGGACCGTGGGGACATGGGGGGTACATGGGGACCTGGGGGTAGGGGAACACGGCAGAGGAGTGTTGGTGGTCTAGGAGTGGGGGGACATGGGAGGTGGGGGAGGATATGGGGGGATTGGGGACATGGAGAGATGTAGGGGGACGTGGGGCTGTGGGGACATGGGGCGACATAAGGGGACGTGGAGGGAATGTGGGGGTGGGAACATGGGGACCCCAATGGGGACATGGGACCCCAGTAGGGACATGGAGACCTTGAAAGGGGTCCCTGGCGGGGACATGGCCGTAGGGGACACAGGGACATGGGGTCAGTGGCAGGGTGACAGGGCGGGGGTGGCCGCCCCCCCGTGTCCCCGCGGCTGTGACACGCCTGTCCCGTGTGCTGGCACCGACCCAGGGCCACGTCCCGCGGGCTATAAGAGGCCCCGGGCTCGGCCCTGCCAGCACCGCCGCTGTCCCTGTCCCTGCTCCCGCCATGGCCCTGCCGCTGCCGCTGCTCCTCGCCCTGCTCGGGGCCACCCCAGGTAGGGCCCCCGCACCCCCAAACCGGGGGGCACCCCCAGAGCTGGGGACACCCCCAGGAACCCCGTGGTGGGGCGAGGGGAGCTCAGACAGCGGGGTGCCCCCGGGGGGAGGGGATGCCCGGGGTGGGGGCAGACCCTGAGTGCCCCCTTGGGGTCTCAGGGTACTGAGGGGTGTTACTGGGGGGGTCCCTGACATCTGACTCCCCCCACGAGCGCTGGGTGTGGGAAAGGGCATCTTGGAGGGGCAGGGGGGTCCCAGACAGCCGGGTGCCCCGTGGAGGGAGGGGGTGCAGTTTTGGGGTGGTGTGTGCACTGGGGGGGGGGTCCTGGGTGCCTGGATCCCACTGGGATGGGGGGGGGGGGAACTGGTCCTAGAGACCTGATCCCCCATGAGGATTGGAGGGGGGTGTATTTGGGGGTCCCAGGCGCTCAGGTTCCCCCCGTGAGGGTTGGGATGAGGTATTGGGGGGGGGGGGTGGCCTGAACTCCCAGCCCCTCCCGGCTCGGCGCTCACGGCCCCACAGGTCTGGGGGCGCCGGGGGGGGGCTGTGGGGTGCCCCCCTCTGCCTGGTGCCAGAGCTGGGACACTGCCCTGCGCTGCGGGGCCCTGGAGCGCTGCCCCCTCCTCACCCAGAGACCCCCTGATGTGGTGAGAGAGCCCCCCGTGTCCCACCACCCTCCGTGTTCCCATCACTCCGACATCCCTGTCACCTCCTGTGTCCCCTGTGTCCCCCTACCCCACCCCACCCCACTGTCTCTCTACCCCCTGTATGTCCCCAAAATCCCACAGGAGTCCCAAGACCCTCCCATGGCCCCACACCAACATGTCCCCATGCACCCTCCTTGGTCCCCCCTGTCCCCACATCCACATTTCCCCATACACTCAAGTCCCAGTCCCCATGTCCCCATGTCCCCAGTCCCCGTGTCCCAGAGTCCCCGTGTCCCCGTGTCCCCACATCCCCATGCTACCCCATCCCCATGTCCCCCGTCCTCGTGCCCCCCACATCCCTGTCCTCTACTACCGTTCCCCCCCATCCCAGTGTCCCCAGCTCCCCATGTCCCCGTGTCCCCGTGTCCCCACACCGCCGTGTCCCCGCTGTCCCCTCCCGCAGGACACCTGCGCCCTCTGCCAGCAGCTCTTCTCCTTCCTCCACCGCGTGTCCAACCAGTCGGCCGTGCAGGTGCCCGCGGGACAGGGGGACACGGCGGGGACAGGGACAGAGGTGTCACCGTGGGGGTCATCTTGAGGGTCATCGTGGGGCCGGGGGCTGGGGGTGTCACTGGGGGTGTCACTGGGGGGACGGGGACACAGGTGCCACTGAGGGTGTCACTGTGGGGGTCACCGTGGGTGTCACCGTGGGTGCCGGCAGGTGTCATGGAGGGAGGTGCCACTGGAGGTGTCGCTGCGGTTGCTGAGGTGGTGGCTGTCACTGTGGGTGCCACCACAGGTGCCATAGTCGCAGATGCCACCACGGGTGCCATGGTGGTGGGTGCCACTGTGGGTTTCACTGTGGTTGCTGGGGTGAGGCGTGAAGTGGTGGCAGATGCCAGCGGGTGCCACGGTGGCGAGTGACACCATGGGTGACACCATGTGTGCCATGGTCACAGATGCCACCACGGGTGCCAGTGGTGCAGCGGTGACGGGTACAGCAGTGGTGTGGGTGGTGGTGTCCCCGTGGGTGTCCCCTGGGTGTCCTTGGGTGTCACCGGGGTGCCCCAGCGCAGGTAGCAGTGGAGCAGGTGCTGGGGGCTCTGTGCCTCCCGCTGCCCGTCCTGGCGGCCCCGTGCCAGTCCGTGGTTCACTCACTCGTCCCACGCGTCCTCCGGGAGCTCCAGCACCTCGTGAGTGGCACTGGGGGGACGTGACCAGGGCACACCCCGGGGTGCTGGGGCCTTGGGGACACTGTGGCAGCTGGGAACATCTTGGGGGGCTAGGGGCAGTGGGGACACTGTGCCATCCAGGGACCCCCTGGGATGCTGCAGGTTTGGGGACATCTCCGGGCACTGGGGGTTTGGGAACACCTTGGGTTGCAGAGGGTTTGGGGACACATGGGTCACCTGGTCGTGCCCCATCGGGGGGTCCCTGTCGTGCCCCCCCAGGTACCCCGGCAGATCTGTGCCAACCTGAAACTGTGCCCGGCAGAGCCCGGTGGTGCCGCAGCCGTGCCCACCCTCGGGGCACTCGGCACCCACCCGCAGGTACGGGGGTCCCGGGGGGCAGCGGGGGTGGCTCTGAGGGTGTCAGCAGGGCCACCACGGGGCTGGAGCCCGCTTGGGGGGCATAGCCAGGGGCAGCCCCACCCCTGGGCTCCACAGTGAACATCCTACAGGAGGCCAAAACTCCACCATGGGGCTCGGGTGAACCCCCTCCTGCAGGTCCCACCACCCAGCTCCAGAGGGAACAACTACCCACAGGAGGCCACAGACCCCCATTAGGCTGCAGAGTGACCCCTTCCCACAACCCCTCCCACAGCCACAACCCCACCAAATGACCCCTTCCCACAGCCACAACCCCACCACTGAGTGACCCCCCCCTCCCACAGCCACAACCCCACCAAGTGACCCCTTCCCACAGCCACTGAGTGACCCCTCCCCAGAGGGAGCTGCAGCCCCACCACTGGGCTCTGGAGTGAACCCTAACTCCACCCCTAACCCCCTCCCTACAGTTCCACCCCCGGGCTCCGGACTGAACGCCCCCAGGATGCCACAGCCCCCCTGGGCTTGAGCACCCACGTCCCCCCCAGGCCCAGCCCGGCTCTGGGCTCCCGCTGTCCCACAGGAGGCTCAGAGTGACCCCCCTCCGGGTCACTGGGCTCAGGGTGACCCCCCTCCCTCCCGCAGGAGCCCCCCCCGGGCCCGGCGGCGCTGCCGGTGCCCCTCCCGCTGTGCTGGCTGTGCCGCACCTTCGTGGCGCAGGCCGAGGCCGCCATCCCCGTGCCCAGGGTGGCCGCGGCAGCCACGGGGCTGTGCCGGGCGCTGCCGCTGGTGGCCGCGGGTGCGTGCCAGTGCCTGGCCCAGCGCTACGCCACCCTCCTGCTCGAGGGGCTGCTGGGCCGCCTGGGCCCGCGCCTGCTGTGCCGCCTGCTCCTCGCCTGCCAGGGCACTGCGGACGACGCGGGCGCGTCCCCGGCGCTGCTGGAGGCCATCGTGGTGCGGCTGGCGGAGTGCGTGGGCCCCGAGGTGAGGGGACAGGTCCCCGGGGAGGTGACGGGGCATCCCAGGGTGGCACAGCCCTGAGGGAACACGTCCAGGGGTGCCACAGTCCTTGGGACACATCCCGAGGGCGTCACAGTCCCCAGGGGCCATGGCAGGGACACAAACGGTGGCACAGCCCCGAGGGGACACGTCCAGGGGTATCACAGTCTCGAGGGAGTCCCACCACCCCTGGGCACACCACGAGGTCCCCAGAAGGTGCCACCCCCACCGAGAGGACAGTGTCAGGGTCCCCAAGGGTGTCACAGGCCTCGAAGGGGACACTCAAGAGTGACCCAAGTGGGGGAGGGCACCGAGTGTCACAACCCCAAGGGACACCCCAAGGACGTCACAGCCCCGGGGAGGGGGTTCCAGGAGGCTCCCTGGGGTGTCCCCACCCTTGGGGGGACCCCTGACACCCGTGTCCCCCCCGCAGGACCTCAAGGGTGTCGCCCCCCCTGTGCTGTCACCCCCCCTGGGCCCCTGTGCCCTGGGCCCTATGTACTGGTGCTCCGGCCCCGAGCCCGCCCGGCGCTGCCAGGTGAGTGGGGACAGGGGGGACATGGAGGGGTGGCACCCCCTGCACCCCCCACTGACCCCTCTGTGCCCCCCAGGCCCTGCAGCACTGCCAGGAGCACGTCTGGCTGTAGGAGGGCTCTGGGGGCCCCCTCAGCACTTCCCAATAAAGCTTGGATGCAGTTCTGCCTCTGTGTTCCCAGTTTTTTGAGGTGTTTCTGGGGGTCACGGGGTGCTGGGGAGTCGGGGGGGGAAGCAGTGGAAACCACAACCCCCCTAAACACAAAAAAGAGAAAAGGTGAAAATGAGCTACAAAAATAAGTGGGTGGCATTTATTTGGGGTGGGGAGAGACACACCAAGGGGCTTGGGGGTGTCCCTGGAGGGGTTATGGGTGATCCCAAGGAGACCTAGGTGTCCCCAAGGGGCTCAGGGTGTCCCCAAGGGGATCTTGGGGTGTCCCAGAGATGGTTGTTGTTGCTTCCAGGGGGGTTCTGGATGTCCCCAGGGGAGCCTGGGGTGTCCCCAAAGGCGTCTCTGCATCTCCACAAGGGACTGGGAGTGATCCCAAGGGGGTCTCTGGGTGTCCCCAGGGGGTCTCAGGCCCCTTGTTGGTTTGTCTCATCCTCCTCGCGCCGTTTCCAGATCTGTGGGAGAGGGGTGGTCAGAGCACATCCTGGGGGTGCCAGGGACATCCTGGAGGTGCCAGCTGCCCCCTGCCCCCCTCACCTGGATGTAGGCCTCGGACAGAGTGATCATCTGTGGCAGGATGTCGGTCACCTGCAGGTCCTGCAGCTCGTACCACTTCCCCGTGCCCTGCCAGGACCAGGAGGGGACAGGGTGGGCCAGGGGGTCCCCGTGGCCCCCCCAGAGCCCCCCAGGAGGGGGACACTCACGTGGTGCAGGACGTGGATGCGGTAGGAGCCCTCCGAGGGCTTCCCGTCGTGCACGATGTTGGCGATGAGGTCATAGGTGGTGTGAGCGTGGGCCGCCTGCACCTCCTCCGACAGGTACTCCCGCAGGTCCACATTCCTGGGCACCCCACATGCCCTCAGGGGGGCAGGGGAGCCCCCACAGACCCCTCCAGATGCCTCCAAACCCCCTCCAGATGCACAGACACCCCCCTCCCCAGACGCCTCCAAACCCCTTCTCAGTGCCCACACCCCCTTCCTTCCCAGACACACTCAACTCCCCCCAGATGTTTTCAAACCCTTCCCTGATACCCACAGAACCCCCCAAAGATGCCCAGAACACCTCCAGCTGCCCACAAATCCCTCCCAGATGGCTACAATCCCTCCCAACACCCACAAACCTTCTCCAGGCACCTTCAAACACCCTCCTAGATGCCTCTACCATGTCCCAGATACCTACAACCCTCCCCTAGACACCCTCAAACAATCCCCTCCTAAGTGGTTTTAAATCCCATCAAGTGTATCCAACTCTTCCCCAAGTGCCTTCAAAGCCCCTTTAGATGATTTCAAATGCTAAACCCTCCTCCTGGATACTTTCAACCCCTCTTAGATACCTACAACCCCCTCCACACACCCACAACCATCCCTAGACATTGTCAACCCTGCCCCACCACTCACAATCTCCTCTGGGATGCTTTTAACCCCCTCCACACACTCCCAACCCTCCCACACCTTCCCCAACCCCCCCCTCACCCCTTTAGATGACTTCAAACCCCAAAAGCCCCTCATGGATGCTTTCAACCCCTCTTAAGATACCTACAACCTTCCACACACATCCACAACCACCCCTAGACATCGTCAGCCCCCCCAGTCTCCTCCCAGATGCTTTAAACCCCCTCCCCAGGCTCCCAGCAGCCCCCCCAATGCCCTCAGCCCCCCCCCCAGCGCCCCCAGCCCTGGCTCACGTGATGGGGAAGTTGACAATGGTGGGGTTCTTCTCCACAAAGAAGTTGTTCTTGGTGAAGCGCTTGATGCAGAAGATGAGGTAGGGGGGCAGGCGGGTCAGCTGGAAGCGCTTCAGGAAGTTCTCCTTGTAGGTCTTGTACTCCTTCTCGGTGCTGCCGTTGAACTTGGCCAGGATGCTGAACAGGGGCACCTGGGGGATGATGAGCTGCTCCTTCTCGTCCTTGTAGAGCGGGGCCGTGGGCAGGTCCAGGGTCAGGTACAGGAAGGTGGACTCCACCATGCGCTCCTGGTACTCGCTGTTCTGCAGCAGCTGCGCCTTCTCCTCCGCGGGCTGGGGGGTGGGACCCCTGGGTGACACCCCTGTGGGACCCCAACACTCCCCCTTGGGCCCCAATGCCCTCCCCCAGACCCCAACACCCCCCATTCTACCCCACCACCCCCATCTGACCCCGATAACCCCCACTGTCCCCCCCCACCCTGCTGGACCCTGACACCCCCAGCTGCACCTCACCCCCCCTTGTTTGAACCCAACACCCCCCACCATACCCCACGGTACCCCAACATCCTCTCCCAGACCTTCCCTGGCCTCAGCTCCCATTTGAACTCATCACCCCCCCTGCACCCCAACACCCCCGTGTGACCCCAACACCCCCCCCTGTACCCCAACACCCCCGTGTGACCCCAACCCTCCCACTCCCCCCATTCCCACCAGGTCAGGGTGTGGCAGTTTCTTGGTGAAGATGCGCATGGAGCCCTGGAACACGTCGGTGACAATGGCTGTGGGGACAGGGGGGGCTCAGCAGAGACAGCAGGGGGACAGAGGCCCCCCCAGATCCCCCAAAATCTCCCCCCCCCACTCACTCTTCTTCTTCCTCTTGGTGCCGCCCAGCGCCGCGTGCAGAGCGTTCAGGAACCAGGACAGGAATTCCACCCCGTCCCCTGCAACGGGGGCACAGCAGGGCTGGAGCCAGAGCTGACCCTGGATCCTGCTCTGCCCCACCCAGCACTGCCCCTCAAATCCAGCACTGCCCCCCACATCCTGCTCTGCCCCTCAAATCCTGCTGTCCCCCCACATCCTCCTCTGCTGCCTCAAATCCAGCTTGGTCCCCATATCCAGTGCTGCCACCCAAACCCAGCACCGCCCCCAAATCCAGATCCCCCAGACCCAGCCCAGCCTCCAAATCCAGCGATGTCTCCCAGATCTACTGCTGCCCCCCAGATCCAGAGCCCCCCTGAATCCAGTCACCCAAACCCAGAGCCCCCAGACCCAGCCCCGTCTCCAAACCCAGCAGTGTCACCCAAACCAAGCCCTGCACCCCAAATCCAGAAACCCCTGGGTCCAGCACTGCCCTCAAATCCAGAGCACCCCAGGTCCAGAACTGCCTCTCAAATCCAGTGCTGTCCCCCAGACCCAGAGCCCCCCAGGCCCAGCACTGCACTCCGAGTGCAGAGACTGCCAAATCCAGCCCTGCCCCCCAAATCCAGAGCTCCCTGGGTCCAGCTCTGCCCCCCAAATCCAGCATTTCTTCCCCAATCCAGCACTGCCCCTAAATTTCAGCCCTGCTCCCCAAACCCAGACCCCTCAGACCCAGCCCTGCCCCCCCAAAGCCCACCCTGCTTGGTGATCTGGAAGTTCTTCTTGCTGCAGAGCACCACAGCCTGGAGCATCTCGTGGGGCGACACGTGAGCCTTGAAGTTCCTGGGGTTCCAGAGCTTTCTCATGAGCTCCCCGAAGCGCTGCACCAGCAGGAACATGATGTCCCCGGGCGGGCGCTGGATGCGCCGGTAGTTCTCCTCCTCCAGGAAGTAATTCCGCAGGGGGGGCACATTGGACAGGGCCTGGGGGCAGCAGGGGGGATTCAACCCCCGGGACCCCCAGAGAGGGGATCTGCGAGGGTTTTGGAGGGTTTCTGAGGGCTGCACCCCCAGCAGGTGCAGAGCCCCTGGGGCAGGAGGTGGGATTCATCCCCAGAGCGGGGATTTAGGGGTTATGGGGGGGTCTCATGCCCAAAAAGAAGCCTGCATGCCCTCTGTGTGTAAACCCTGTGGGATTCATCCCCAGAGCCCCCAGAGCACGGATCTGGAAAGGGGCTATACAGGAGTTTCACCCCAAAACAAAGCTTGTACCCTCAAGGTGTAAAGCCTGTGGGAAAGGATGTGAGATTCCCCCCTGGGAACCCCAGAGTGGGGTTTTGGGAAAGGGTTTGGGACAGTTTTGAGAGGACTTCATCCCAAAATGAAACACCTGTGCTCCCCTGTGTGTAAAACCTGTGAAAAGAGAGGTGGGATTCCTCCCCAGAACCCCCACAGTGGGGTTTTGGGGGGGTTATAGAATGGTGTCACCCTAAAACAAAGCCTGCACCTCCCAGGTGTAAAGCCTGCGAGAGTGGACATGGGATTCATCCCTGTCAGCCCCACAGCAGGGTTCTGGGGTGGTTTCACCCCAAAATGAACTCTGTACTCTCCAGGTGTAAAGTGTGTGAGACAGGAAATGGGACTCATCCCCAGGACCCCCAGAGTGGGGCTGTGCTGGGGGTTCACCCCAAACAAAGCCTGTACCCCCCACGGTGTATCTCCCGTGGGAAAGGTGGGATTCACTCCCACGATCCCCCCATGGGGTTCTGGGCTGTTCCCCCCCAGGGCAGCCCGTCCCAGTGACCTGCAGCACGGCGTTGGCATAGTCATTGGCCTTAATGTTGTTGAGCCCCACGATGCCCGGCAGGTACGTGGTGCCATCGTAGGCCCGGGACAGCTTGGCCTGTTTGTCCAGGTGGGCGATGTGCTGGGCTGTGAAGGTGGGCTTGAGCACGTACTGCGGGGAGAGGCACCCCTCAGAATGGGG